AGATGCGTAAAACTTTGGAAGTTCGGTTAGCAGCCGTTGAGAATGAAATACAATCCGCTGAACAGGAGAAACTTGAAAAGGAAAAGGCTGCTCTTAAACTACTTGCTCACCAGGAATTAGTTATGGAAAAAGTTGTGCAAGAGTCCAAGATCCTTAAGCAACAGGCAGAAGAAAATGCAAAGGTAGTGAATCATTTTTTTCATTTGGGATTTTTAAAGACTTTAAAACTTCAAAAATCCTGCTGTATTTAATTTAGACTTTTTATGACTTAAAAGTCTTGAGGTATTTATTTGAGATTTTAAAAAATCTTACAAAATCATGATGTACTTATTTGAGACTAGAAATTGTTAAAGACCTTTTAAGATTTGTTGGGATTTTTAAAGAATAAAAATATACGAAATCCCACTCCAAATTCCACCTCCAGACTTAATGATTTAAATCTTAAAGTCACAAATTTCAAAAAGCTTCAAACTGTCTCAAAATTTCACTTGAAATCCCAAATGAATACACTTATACACCCCGATACGTCGCAATTTCCATCATTTCATATTGAATCACAGATCATTTAACATGTTATAATATTGACGGATCACTTTTTATAAAAAAGTGAAATAGGGTTTTCATAATCCATACCAGAAATTTGTTTAAATCTTTAACTAATAATTGTACTTTTGCTGTTGTGTTGCAGATGCAAGAATTTCTCGTGGACCGTGGACATGTCGTCGATATGTTACAGTATGTTGTTACATTCATACCTTCTNCAATTCCTCTTTCAAAAATCATTTTCCCCTGAATTGCATGATACTTTATTTCTATTGTAGCTTATATTTAAGTAAATCAATGAGCCAATGCACATAGGCCGAATTACATACAAAATTTCTTGATTTTCTTTCAGTTGACAATATCCGCCTATATATAATTCTCGAATGTGCGCTAGGCTAGTATGCTTTAGGATCCGATGTAGCGAATTTTTATGTTGTCATTTGGCTTGGGTCTAAAAATAATTAGGTTTGAAATAGCCATAGGTATACTTGATATTTATGGTCCTTTTTAGGAGCATTAATTTGTGATTTATAAGGCATAATTTTTTTCTCCAATCTTTCTTTTTTCCTCTCTTTCTTTTAAAAAGTATGAAAAATTACTAACTTAAATTATAAGGAGATTTAAAAGTTAATAATTTTTTTTATTTATTATCAATTTTTATGCATAATATATCAAATTAATCATGTATCGATGAGTTCTAATTTGACATCTATATTGTACTTACGAAATAAATAAATAATTATATTTTATCTTTATAATAAAAATTAAATTAACTATTAATATTAATTTAAAAAATAAAATTATTTAGATCTATTTAACTACAAAGTGTTTAAATGATATAAGTTATAATATTAGATGGTAAGCCGTATAAGTGATGTGTGTTATTTTAAATGTAAATAGTAATATATTTATTAAAAAAAAGTATTTGAAAATTAGTAATAACAATAATGTTATTATTATTTATAATTCTAAAAATATAAATTTCTTTGCAAACACCCGTGTAATGCACATGTATTGTACTAGTTGCATAGAAACAAAAACTAACTCGAACCTCTTTCGTTTTTTTTCTTTTCGGTTTTCCTTTATGCCAGAGGAGAAATAGCCGTGATATGTCAAGACGTGAGGGTTCTAAAGGAGAAATTCGACGAGCATATTCCCTTGAGCAAATCGCTTTTTTCGAGTCAGACCAGCTTCATTTTAGCTTCTGCCGCCAGCTCATCGTCACTGTCGAAAAGCCAGAGCGTGGATCCAGTGGAGCTACTGCCCACGGTAAAAGACGATATGCTGAGGACTCAAGACGAACAGCTACCTGAAGTGAAAACCGACAGGGAGGCACTTGTAGATGACGGTTGGGATTTTTTCGAAGAGCGTGAAATTAGTGCATGAATTTAAATTTTGGGTTTTTGCTTTCATTTGAGTTTTGTTATTCAGATTTTTCCTTTTTTTTTTATCTGGCTGTTGGAAAATTTTGCTGGCACTTGGTGGAGGGTAATTTTTGCAGAATTTGAATTTTATCTGTGTACAGTTTGATTATATGACCTTTTTTCAATTATTCAATTTTTTTTCATATGAGGAAGGCTGATAATTTGCAGAATTGCAAGTTGAGTTTTAGCATTCAATGCTTTTTTGTCCCCTCATGATATAGGATTGTACTCTCTCTCTCTCTCTCTCTCTCTCTCTCTCTCTCTCTCTCTCTCTCTCTCAAACACACACACACACACACACTACCTGTTAAGCTCTGGCATGATTGTTTTTTCATAAGGAAAAATGAATTATTTGTCAAAATATAGATAAATTGTAAAATACTTCAAGCAGCTTCATTGAGAATGCAGAGTATATTACATGAAATTAATTGGCAGAGAAGCATACTATTCAATTAAATACTGAATGAATTTGAAAAAAGAAGAAAAAAAGCAGCTACATTGAGAATGCAGATTATATAACATGAAATCAATTAAAAAAGAAGCATACTAGTTAATTCAATACTCAATGAACTGAAAAAGAAAAAGAAAAAAAGCTTCATGATTACTTTGACGATACCAACACAACACTGTTAATTTACAAAAATGAAGCTGATATTAACATCAACCCATTACGTGGTATCCTTAAAAAAAAAATAAAAAAAAATAAAAAAAAAAAGAAAGATAATCGCTCTATGAACAGTCTATCTTCTATGTATGATTTTTTGTGTCTATAAAACTACTCTCTGAAATAATATTACATTCGAATTGTAACATGAATTTCAATCGTGCCAGCACAAGAGCAAAACGGCGCATCTCCAAACGATGTACAGACGAGCTTTTTGCTCTCGTATTTGCTTCGAACAGCATTGAACAGACCTCTGTTTCAAATTTCTAACCAGAAAATAAACTGAACTTATTGCCATTTCTGAATAATTTGGCCTTTTTGGTGAGGACTTATGAAAATTCTTTGTATTTATTTCTTGGAGGAAAGTGAAACTTTCTTTTTTCCTTTGAAGTGTTAATGCATTGTGCTAAAGACATTCTTGGCTTTATATAGTATGATTGGAGATATATGCAAACTGAAATTTTGTGGTGTATGAAAAACTGACGGTCCTAGTTGTAGGTT